ACATTCGACACCCAGCCAATTCACTTCCAGATAGCAATTTATGGAAGTAAAAAGGCTAAAATGCTACATGCCCTTCCTCCTGTTAGGGTGTCTCCAGATCAGTGACATTAATGGTCACATGCTTACCAGTAAAAAGGAAGAATAAATCATTCCCATAGTTAACTGACACTCCTGTTTTCCATTGTGCAAGAACCATTTGACAATAAAGGCAGTCCTCAGACTTACAACATAATCGGTTAAGTCGAAACATTGTAACTCGGAACCAATTTTCTCATTTATAACATTGTTTTTTAAGGGGGATTGGTTCCTGAACCAAGGCTTGATACCCTATTTTCACCAAAAATACCCCAACATTTTGTACTCGATCAATTATAGTTGAGTAATATAGCTACATTAATGTATTTATATTGTAAATAGCAATCATATTGATTTGGAAGGACGTTGAGGTGACTTTGCTGGACTTTTTGAAGGGCTCTTGGTTGGACTTTGTGAAGGGTTGTTGGCTGGAGTCTTCTCAGGAGTCTTGGCTGCAGGTTTTTCTGGAGCCTTGTCTGCTTTCTTAAAGAAAGTGTCCAAGGAGATTAGGACAGATGTTCTCCAGGGAGATGAGCGATGCAGCGAATTTGTTCGCTGGCATGCCATCACATCGGATCAAGCATTGTAAAGTTGAAACTGACGTCAGAAAGTTGAAACAGGCAATTTATAAACGTTGTAAGTATGAAATGTTGTAACTTGAAATGCTGTAAGTCGAGGACTGCCTGTATTAGAGATGACTGTTGATATGTATTTACTATGTTCGGGAGACAAAATACCCGCACAGCAATTCCTGCACATAATGCTTTTCTGCTAAAATCCATCCCGGCACAGCCTGCTGACCCTAATTTTTGCTAATAAGAATAGCTTAATCTACAGGTGCTTCCTATAAGAGTGTGATTAACTTAATTGGCAGAGAAGGAGGACATGCAGAAGGGAGGACTAGACAGTAGAGTAGAAGTTTGGCATTTGCCCTGTTTCCTTAGCCTAGACCAGTGATTCTAAACCAGGGTGCCAGGGCACCTTTCAAGACTGCCGCAGGGTGCCACACAATGTTTGCAGGTAAGGTTCTTTTGAGTAGATGCGCACACTGAACAGTGCTAATGTGATTCACAAGAAAAACCCAGAGATTTCAAATATGATTCCATAGGATTAAAATCACTCCATAGTATTAAAATGATTCCAAACTGTTGTGGTCTTTCTGATTTCTTTGTAAAAGAAGAATATATCTATTATTTTTTCCTAGTAAAAAAAAAAAATAAAAACTAAGAGCTGGCATTTTCCAAGGGGTACCCTGAGCCTAATGAGGGGTGCCTTGAACCTAATGAGGTTGAAAACCACAGGCCTATACTATGAACAAGTCCAGGGTTTTGAAAGGTGGGTGTAAATGGTGTGACACATTATCACATATACCAACACATTTTTCTCTATTAAAGAGAAACTAGAAGATTTACACATATGATAGGAGGCTAGCACTATATTATTCAATTTAAGATCAGAGCAAAACAAATATAACTATTGGAATGTGCACTAATTTGCTAGAGAATATATCAAGGTTTTTTTTAAAGAAACACAGACTAGGGGAAAACTCATCAAAAGATACTGCGGCATTAGTCCTGCAGTCATTATAGTTAAATATACATCTCTTATTCAGATTAATAAAACAAAATCTAACTTTCTTGAGCATCTTGACGGTGCCTCCAGCACTGTACTTCAGTACCAATCACTTCTACACCGGAGTTAATATTACCACACCTGAGTTAAGAGTGTTAGCCAAAGCTGTCTTCAGGGCTGTGAAACAGAGGAGAGGTTACCAGGAATGGTTTACAGGCAGTAACATGGCAGAAGAAAAGATAGTTTGTATAGCAAAACATCAAGGCCATCTGTGACCGGCGGGCCTTCTCCAGCCGCTCTAGGGCAGCTCTGCCCTCCTTGCAATTGTCTCCGCCCCTTCCAGGCTTGTTCATCGCTGGGATAGTTCTTCTTCCCGTGCCGCCAACCCCACTCTCGCCTGTCATGACTTGATGTTCCCCAGTGGCCGGGGCTAGTTCACGGGTCCCTTGGTAGCCCAAGCCCAGCCCAATGGTTGCTCACGGGGCTCCACCACCCCTACACCCCAGCCTCACGCCTCCTGTGGTGCGTCGCCGTCTCGTTCCCCAGGGTTGTCCCTGCAGGCCTCTGTTGCTGTTCCAGTTCTCGGACCCAAATACCGGTGGGGCACGTATACCCTGAAGTGTCATACGCCCTCACCCTATCCTATAAGGGAACCTAAGCCATCACCTCTATTGGAACCTCACCACAAGCCCCTCCACCATGCGCACCTCTGTGCTTCGTGCCCCCACTTGGGGACGCTAGTGTCCTTACTACCCCTAACCAACCCTCCACCAGATTCCTGTCTGGGGATCCTTACAAGCAGGGAGGGCGCTCCCCTCTGTTGAGCAGTAATTGCCCAGCTCCGGCCCCTCTGTTGGAGTCTGAAGACCTCGGCGGCGATCCTGCCCCGATTACCCTCCAGCCGGGTTGTCCCCCTCTTTTCCCCCTCTTCAGCATCCTCCACACCCACCGTCTCAATACTCACTTCGGGGACCTCTGATGCTCCCTGGGTTGCCCTGATCTTCCTTCGCTCACCTGGCCCGTTGCTCCTCTGGAGATCTGCTGGTGTCCTGGTTGCCGTGCCTCTCTCCTCAGCCACCAACCCCTCTGACACGCTGGATCTCCAGAGACTTGCCCGCAGAGTGCGCTCCATTGCTGGTGCTGGCTGCAGCCTGGTATCCGGGCTATCCGTCTCTTCCGGAGCAGCGGCCGCCATTTTTAAGTCTGCCAGCCGGCATCTGACGCCGACGTCACTGGCCGGCCGCAGCTGTAAACAGAGGTGGCTAACGAGCCACGCGGGTTTTCCCTCCTGCTCTGCGTGTCTTCCGTCCTGGGCTGCGGGTAAGTGTTCCACGTTACCATGGCCCCCGGGACACCATTAAAAAGGCTAGAGGGTCATTAACACCTATGGAGTAGGAAGGGATTAACAGGAATTTTGGAGATGCTAATAAGGCATGAAGTCAAGTGACTCTCTCAGCAGTACCTGAATAGAAATGCCACTACAAGGCAGACAAGGTTCTTTGTGTGAATCTGATATCTTTTATTAGACCAACTTAAATGGTTGGAAAACAATTATTAAGCAAGCTTTCAGGTTCAATTGTGAGGACAAAGGGGTATACAGCAGGAAAGGTAGTTTTATTCACTAGTTCCTGTTCAGGACACTGCCAACAGGAAATGCATTTCCCTTAAAGGCAGACGTTCTTTTTCAGGTCTTGTGGACTCTAAGTCACCGTCTCAATCCATCACGTACAGAGGTCAAGATTTTCAAAAATGTCAGAGTAACTGGCAAATGCTGTGCCCTCAGAAAACTTTAAACAAAGGTCATTTTCTTAGGTGATGAAAATATTATATTTGGGGCCTACCTTTAAGCACCCTCTATTGAAAACCTTGTCAAGACTCCCTGATGGTTTCCCTGAGCAGTAATACTACCTTGCATTCCTCCCCAGCCCAGGCTGAAGAAAGGATTGCTGTCCCCTTGCTACAGGGGCAAAGAGAGGGGAAACAGCTTCCCTGCAGGAGCTTTGTGGCATGGTTGGGATCAGTATCCAGGTCTTCTGAATCCAAGTCCAGGCTGTTAACCACCGCTATCAGTTCTCGTCCACATAAAGGTGCAGCTGACACTTGTCTCAGGACCCGTCAATACTGAACACCTTTCCACTGGGGTAGTTACAGCATTTCAAACTAGGATGAGCAGCACAAACCAGCACAGTACATCTCCACCGAGAATATGCACTAGAGTAGTTATTTGGGTGTAATTACATCAGTACAGATATCCCCGGTATAAACAGACCCGCGGGTCTTTATTTAGCAAGGTGTAACAGGTCCAGTTGTGAAGACAAAGGGGTTACAGCAGGAAAGTTAGTTCCTGTTCAGGACACTGCCAACATGGAGGGGGTCCAGAGGAGGGCCATTCACATGATCAGGGGACAGCAGGGCAGGCCCTACGAGGAGAGACTACGGGACCTGAACCTGTTCAGCCTCCACAAGAGAAGGCTGAGGGGGGATCTAGTGACCTGTTATAAACTAGTCAGGGGGGATCAGCAGGCATTGGGGGAGTCACTGTTCCCC